CACATGTCCTCTCCTGCAGATGTAACAGCCTGCCACTGAGGTGCAGCAGCACCAGGGAAGTCCTTGGGAGAGGGCCAGACCCAGAGATCTTGAACTTGGATCTTCATGCAGTCTCCTGGGACCCTGTCTGCAAGCTTTGCCCTTGGGCTGCTGGGCAAGGACAGTAGCAAGGAGACCCTTTGCCAGCAGGGTCCCACATGGTTAAGTGTTGGTATGAAACATCCCCCCCGACAGTGTATCTCCTTCTCAGAGAGGGGTTTTGAGACAACTACAGGCTGAGCTCACCCTGAACTGGACACTGCCCTGCAGAGAGTACCGGGTAGAGATGGGAGGAGATCATCAGCTCCTTGACTGATTTTGAGAAAGATCCTCAAACAAGATGGGGACACAAGGAGATGAAAACTGTGTGGACTGGCCACCTTGATGGCCTTCTCCTGGAGGGGAAGGAGAGCTCCTCCCTCTCCATCACTATCCTCTCCTCCCAGGCACTTTCCTGGACCCTGCCCTTCTCTGTTAAGTTGTGTGGACACTCATGGTGCTTGTTTCCAGAGTGACCTGATGACCAAGACGTTTCCCTTTTTAGCTGCTGACAAGCCCACACAGCCCTCTGAACTGTAAGCAGTTTGGAGTTGTGAAGTTGTTGCTCATCAAAAGTGGGACCTGGGATGTGACTGGCAGGGGATGTCCAAGAGCAGGGAGGGGCAGAAGGGACAATTTGTCTCCTCAGCCATGATGGCACTGGGTCTGGACATCCTGTGCTGATTTGTGTCCCTTTGTGTGCATTACACGTACCATCTGCAACAAACAGGGACATCAAAAGAGGGAACCAGGAACGTGAGCCCATGGAGGTCCAGCTGACAAGGGCAAGGGCTTGGCCTGCTCTCCAGCCCCAAGCCTGTGAGGAGTGAAGCACTGGACAGGCAAGGGAAGGCTGGGAGAGCTGGGTTGGTCCAGACTGAGGAAGGGAAGGTGTGGAGGGATCTTGCAGCTCTGTGCAGCTAATTAACTGGAGGATGTAGAGAAGATGGAACCAGATCTTCTGATGTGCATGGGGAGAGGAAGGGAAGCAACTGGAATAAGGTGGGACATGGGAAAGTCCTTTCAGACACCTAGAAAAAAAATTCACCTTAAAGTCTGTCAAATACTGGGAGAGAGGCCAGGGAGGCTGTGGGATCTCCATCAAACCTCAACTAGACGAGGTCTGGAGCGACTGAGTCTTGACCTGGTTCAGCAAAGCTGGCCCTTCTTTGGGCAGAAGATCAGTCCCTTGCTATCTAAATTATTCCATGTTTCTGTAGGACACACCTTAGCGCTGCGCTAACTTTGTTCCCAGAACTTCTCCGTTACGCAAGGCTTAAACATTGCTGCCTGTGGCCCCACAGCTGCTCTGCATGAGCCATCCTCCCTTTTTGTGGAGAAACTGGGGATTTCCTTCTTTTCCTCACCTAAGTTCCCATCCACAACGGGAGCTCTCTGGGACTTGGTAGTCTACCTGCTTTGCCAAGGGCCAGCCCATGACCTGCTCAGTGCTGTTGCCTTCTTGTCCTTTCACAGCACCACCCTGAAAACGTCTCAGTGACACGTGTGTGAGGAGTGGAGGTAATGTTTTGTTCAAGAACAACCTATCTGCATGTCTCTACAGGCTCCTCCATGGCTTTCAGCTGGATCCTGGTTATCCTGTTGGTTCGAGCTCTCCATCCATGCTGTTCCTGTGGCTCTTTCTGGCCTCACAGAAGAAAGACAGCCTTTCACAAGAGGCAGAGTGAAACTAAGGCTTTGCAAATCTGAAGAGCAGGTTTTCTCCTGGAGACACCTTGACAGGCTCTGGGAAGTCTCAGCTGTGCTGGGGCAAGACTGAGTCACCTCTCAGAAAATGGCATTATCCTGGAAAATACAAGAAATTCCCAGCAGCCTTACCTCTGTCCCTCCTGGTGACCATCCACCCTGAGGAAGAAGCGAATCTAGGTGCTAAAAAATACCCACAGCAGGACTCCCTGTCACCAGTTTTGGGGGCCAGCTACTTTCCTCTGGCAGATTTTACAGTGATCCATAGCCACTTTCAGCTGAGGAGTGCCTGACAAGTTTGAACAGTAAACCCTTCACTGCTCTGGGAGCAGCATTGGGCCAGCGAGCCCTTTGATTACAATCAGCAAGTTGGCAGGAATCCTAGGAACTCGTACAAAAATGCTTTGAAGAGGCCAGATGCACAAGGTGTGTCCCTGTGTGGGGTGCGGAGCGGTGATTCACGCCATCACCACGCAGCGCTCGGCGCGCACAGGCAGCTGTTGGACCACAGCAAAGGCCCTCCTCTCTCTGTAATCACCAGATGCCAATTTATTTTCATTTCTCTTCAACCCTGCGATCTTTTGCCGATCGTTCCCCAAATTCGCCACGGGATTTTTTTCCCTTTCAGCTTCCCTGGCTGCTGCCTGCGCACCCCAGACAGAAAGGCAGAGGGGGAACTGACTGCGGGCGCTGGCAGATGCAAGCTCTGCTGCTCTGCTGGTGCCACACTGGGCTTGCTGGGGATGACACTTCCATGCCCTCCTAAGTAAAACATCCCCAGAGCAGAAACAGCAGTTTGCGTCGAAGTGAAACAAACTCCTTTATCTAAGTACCTTTTGCTCTTTTAGAGATGGATTTGGAGTCTGTTGCAAAAACCTGTTCTGTTCTCTCCCTTGAGCTAGGCCATACAAACCCACCTGAAGAAACTTGTGCTTCTTGAAAACCTTTGTGAGCTCTCTGTACCCAGCCCAGCAGCCCAGCTCAGCATTTTGGGTGAATTATGAAACAGGGCAGATGCCGGAGTGGAGCATTTGTGTTATCTGCCAGCGAAAGATGGGATGTGATAAACACTTGGCTCTACGGTGCAGGGACAGGGTGAGGGCTGTTCCTTGCCGGGGGGGAAATGACATTACAGGTTTGCAAGAGCTGGGCACTTTGTTGTGCAGAAGCCATCTGATGCTGACAGCCTGTCATTGATTTGCGAAAACACCATTTGGCATTGATAACAAATGTTCAGGAGAAACTAGTAGGAGAGAGGAAAACAACATGCAGGTATTGCTTCGCTGTTCTCTACCTGGGCTGGAAGCTCACAGTCTTATCCCCACTGTGTCAAATGCAGAGAAGCAGCAGAAAATCCTCCATCTCACTGGGCATCAGCCACCTGGTCTTGGGCAACTTTCACCCCTCATCTTGGCTGGACTAGACTGGGCATGGTCGAAATGTCCAGGCTGGTTGGGTGATGGAGCAGAGTGAAGTCACTGCATCCCTTGGGTGAGGTATCAGGAAACATGGGGAGAGGAGACCAAAGGTAATTACCCTCTAGGTGCTCTAGTCCTGTGTCTCATTGACAAATCTTGGGTTTCTGCCTTTGGGTTTCACTGGAGGCTCCTGGAGTGTCAGAAGCAGTAGGTGCACAATGTCCATCTTCTCCAAGAGCATGCCCTGTGCTTTCTCTTGTGCCTATGAAGTATGGCACTCACATGCTCACAAGCCACCAGGGAAACATAAAACCTGATGAATGGCAATGAAATAAAGTGCTTTCCTGCTGCTTCCCAGGAGGGACCCAGCAACTGTGAACCAAAAGCACCAGGCCTGTGGACAGCCAGTCCTTGGGCATGATGATCCCCACTGGAGAGAAAACCCACAAAGCCCCTTCACTACAGCACCCTCCATCCAGCAGCGTGGAGGAAGCTGCTCCTCCTGACCCTTCTCTGGGTCATGTGCTGGCACAAGCACCCAGGACCCTGTCCTTGAGAGTCTGGGAAGCCTCTGCCCTGGGCATCCTCCCCTCAGCCTTCCTCCTGATGGGGTTTCTGCCTCTTCTGTATCATCCTTTTGCAGCTTGGCAGGAGCTTTGTCAGCACTTGCTGTGACCTGAAACTGGTCACACCAGCACCAAGGTGTTTGATTCTCTGCAAACGAGTTGCTGCAGTGTGGCTTGGCAGAGAGAAAATTCTCTGCTCAGATTCATAACCAGGCATGTAATTTCTTGTACAGCCATTTTATCTGCTATTCTGCTTACTAGAAGTCCTATTTTTCCCCATGCTACCCCAAGTTACTTGCAATGATTGCCCCAACTCTTAGCCTCATGATTGCCCTGATTTCTGTACAGGGATGTCCCTGCAAAAAGTGGGAGGTCCTTGTGGGAAGAGGTTTTGCCCCCATTAACACAGCAACACGCTGCAGTCAGCAGGACCCTCCTTGACCCCTGCTTTAGGCATTTGCAAGTGACCCTGCAGTCCTGGGCTCAGTGGGGTGGTTTTGCAACCTGTGCAGGGTACGAAGCATTTTGCAAGTTAGGAACTGGACATGTAGACCCAGGAGCATCTGGACAGGACAGAGGCTGGACCCTCAGGCAGGAATGGGCACTGTGGGTAACGTTGCTCTTCTGACATATGGAATGTCCGTTGCTGCCTTCTACTAGCAGGGGTGTCCCCAGGCTCTTGACACTGAGGCACCATTTTGATCCCGTTTAGACTAGGGAAAATAATAAAATACCAGATGAGCAAGCTGTGCACGAGATCCTCCAGCTGCTGAAGAGCGCTGTTTCCTACCCAGACTCACAAAGCCTCACCTGTGAGCCTTTCATAGCTAAGGGACAGTGATGTCCATCCCCAATGCTCCTGCTCCCCCTTGGTGTGCACAAGCCCCTCTCAACCTGTTCCTTTCAGCACAGGCGGGGGGAGGTGGATTTGGGGCGAGAGCAGCAGGGAGCTGCCTGCCCTGAAGCGGGGGCTGCGAGCGGCGGCGGGGAGCGCGTGGGTGTGTGCAGGCAGGGCTGTATATCCAGTCTGGCAGAGGGTGTGCCTGCTCACACGCCGCGGATCCCAGCCGGGAGCAGGAGCCCTGAGACACCTTCGGCCTGGGACGTATGGCAAGGAGGGGTTCGGGAGATTGAACACAGCACAAAGACACATTTACTGTCGCCTCGTGTTGTGCACGGCCAGGTGAAGTGCAGCCCCCTCTCCCCCCAGCCCCACGGCCTGCCTGCAGCCATGCTTCACTCTCCGCTGAAAACAGCGTTGGCCTATGAGTGTTTCCAAGACCAGGCCAGCTCCACTCTGGCTCTGCCCTCGGACCACAAACTGAAAACGAAAGGCACAGGAAAACAGCGGGTCCAGGAGCAAGTGATGATGACGGTGAAGCGGCAGAAGCAAAAGTCGTCTGTGTCGTCAAGCGTGAGCCACTCCAACCGAGGTAAAATCCCACCGCGCTCTGGACAGCAAGGGGCTCCCCTCTGGGGACAGAGCACGTGCTATGGGGTGATTCTGTGGGGTTTTGTTTGTGGGGCACAGGCCAGTTCACATCTCTCGTGGGTTACTCCAGGCAGGGGATGCCGAGGTCTCCTGCAGTTGGTGTGGAGCTGGATGCATTGACTCTGAGGTGAAGCTGACCTCCCGGGAGTGCTCCACTGCTCCACATGCCCGAGGGACTTGGACAGTTTGCTGTGGTGCTATTAATCGTGGGTATCCTAGCTCTAAATCTGGAGTAGGTGCCTCACCTTTGCAAATCCTTCCTCTGCAAATGCCCCCGTGGTTGGAATCCTCCACCAGAGCTGTCCCCTGCTGTAGATGGCCAAAGCTCACAGAGTGGCTCTTCCACCATGGCATGGGGTCAGGAGCTGGCCACAAGCCGGTGCTCAGCTACCTCCTGAGCATGGGGGCAGGGAGAGAGCAGACAGTGGTGCCTACACACAGGGCACAAACCTGAGCCCTGGATTCACCTCTGAAGCTCCCAACATGTGTCCCATTTGCAGGCTGAGAAGTGTGGGACCCTCTGGGACACCCCAGTGTGAGTGTTAGGGAGGAGAGAAGTTAGGAGGGGAGACGTTTTCTTACTGCAGTGGCTTGAATCAGTTCAGTGAGGATGTTTCACAGCCCACTCTGTTTTGCAGATGGGTAGGAAGGGGTTTAGGTTCCACCTTCATGCATTGAGATTGTGCCATGGAAAGCAAGCAATCGGCCGAGTCCTGGAGCCCTGTTTCCTACTGGAATACCTTCTTCTGTGGGTCAAGGCTTGGGAAATGGTTTTCTTTGCCATTCTTGCATGTAGAGAAGGCTGATTTGCAGGTAGATGCCAGCATTCCCCAGACAGGGGCTGCAGAGTCAGAGGGTTGCAACAGCCACAGTGAAAACCCGCCTGGCTCTCAGAGGTGCTTTCACCAGCAGCTGCAGCAAGCTCACTGGTCTGGCTGAGGTCACTGGGAAGAGGAATGCCTGAGGCTTTGGGTGAGGGGGGTGTCGGGGCCAGGACTGAAGTGTTCAGCCATGTCCAGAGCGAGCAGCACAGAGGGTTGTTTGCTGGAAAGCTGCATGAGCTGGGCCAGCCTCTGCCACTTCTGAGGACTGGGGCTTCTCCAGCAGCTTTTCCCAGCTGGATCATGAGACTGAATCCAGCTCTACTGAAGTGTCATGGTCCAGACACACATTTTGGGCTGGTTTACCAAGAGAAACTGGGTGGCACTAGGCTGCCAGGTGAGGAGTAGAGGTGGTGCTCCCCGAGGGAGCCACCCTGGCTCTGCGCAGCACAATTGCTGTGATGCAGAAAATAAAGCAGGTTCATGGTGGATGGCATGTGTGCAGTGACCTGTGATGGGCACTGCCAGGAACAAATCTTTGCTTTCTGTTTTTTTGTGTGTTTGTGGACATAGATTCCAAAGGGTTGGTGGAGGATGGGGCAAGGAGAGCTTTCTTCTGCCACCAAAATGGAAGATGCAAATCTCCTCCTACCTCAGAAGGGTTTATTGCTTAAGGTGATATGGTGCCAGACGTGACAAAACAAAACACAAACCAAGATGAGACGAGAGGCTCTAAATGGGGAAAGGAAGGGAAAGGCTTCCTTCTGGGAAAGGAAAAAAAAAGAGGCAAATTCCCATGCTGCCCGTCTCTGCTTGACAGGCTGCAGCTAAACCACTCCTCCAGACACTTTCAGAAATGTCTGGGAATGGGAATTGCGTGGAAATACGAAGTTCTGGTTTCTGTGTCCCAAGGAAGCTGAGTCATATCCAGCTCCCACGAGCTGCCTCCAAACATGGGGCTGAGGCCGTCCCATTCCCACCACAGGGAGTTTGGCCAGCATGAAGGTCTGGATGGCTGATTCACCCCAGTGGCTGCTCTCTCAGTGCATTTCTGGGCAGAACCCCAGAAGGGCAAGAAGTTGCCATCTCCTGGATTAAAGCCTGGTCTGGCTAAACTTTCAAGTATTGATTTTGACTGCTGTTGGTCCAAAGCTTAGCTGAACAGTCCTAATAAGAAGCATTAATGTTTCCTACAAACAGGCTACATGGGTCTGTCACTCATGGATGTCTGTCTGTTCAAATGCTCCTCCAACATCAGCTACCTGCATCCCCCCATGGTTTCTCAAGGGTGCTCCTCAAAGGCAGTACAAGCTGGGGAATTCACAAAGCCCCTTGATAAATGTTCGAGCGCTTTGTTCCCTCCTACCTAAAGAGTTTCCTGCATGTGTCTGGTTAGGTGTTGGTCCAGGTCCAGCCATCTGCTGCTGCATTTTGATCTGTGGTTTGAGCAGGAGCTGAAGCATGGCACAGAGCTTCCCCCAGCTTCA